CATGGACGTCCACGACACCCCCGAGTTATCCCGCTCACAGCCTCTCCAGCCTGGCATGGTCATCACGATAGAACCAGGTAGTAAACTAGATGTAGAAACTACAAACTACAAACAGCTTGGTTCATCCTGAGGTTGACATTCTCACAGACTTTTCCTCTCAAATGCAAATGTACATGAAATTTAGGAAAAATTTAAAATTATTTTTGTCTTTTCCATCAAAATAAATAAATTGAAGCCTAAAATATCAAAATGTTTAAGGGGTTTCAAAGGTGTTTGCTGGTTGTGTTACATGTCCAATTACCTGAAATCTTTCCTGATGATTTTTTCCTCGTGGCAGGGTTATACATCTGCGAAGACAACGACCAGGCCCCAGAGCATTTCCGTGGCCTCGGTGTCCGGATCGAGGATGACGTAGCGATCCGGGAAATGGGAGGACCTCTGATTTTGTCGTGCGGTGCTCCAAAGACTATAGCTGATGTAGAGAAGGCCTGCAGCTCGGGGTAGTGCAGGGAGAGAAGGAGGAGCTACAGCAAATGGTGAAAAACTCAGGTTCAAGGAACATGCCAGCTCAAGCCTCTCTGATGGCATTAACTTCAGTGTTATCAAGGTTGCAAATGTTCAGAAATGAAATGTTAAAAGAGGATTAACTATGCTGCCCATTTATAACCTTTAATATATTGGTAAAATGTGCCTTCAGTGAAAATGGCGGCCTGAAGTCCTCGGAGAAGATCCGCTGATTAGATGTGAACAGATTTTGTTTTAGCTTTAAAATCTACGTTATGGCAGCAAGGAGGACAATCCTAAACAAGCGCTGAAATTTTACATTTTATTTATTGTCTTTGCTTCCATAAATTCTCCCATACATAACAGCATTTCAGAAGGAAAAGCATCAATTCTTTTTTTTCTGCTTTTTACTGCTGTTAAAAAAATTAAAGTTACAGTTAATATCAGCGTTACACCACTGCATCGAACACATCAACTCCTTTCTCTGATATTGTAACTTTCTTGATGTGGGATCTGTTATACTGACAGTTTGACTGAGTTGGTGTGAATGTGTGCTTTTCATTGCCGTAAAAATAAAACCATATTGTATTCTCTTTTAGAATAAAAAAATGTTTCATTTTTAATAAAGATTTACATTTTAATGCAAGAGGAAAAAATTAAAAAGGGTTTATAGATTTCATATCAGGGCTTTATCTTTACATGAGTGGAGATCTGGGTGCTTTGAGGGAAGGACTCTGGTGAAAATGAGTCCTTCAGAGCAGCCTTCTGCCATGCATGAGCAGATTTCTTTCACTGTGGTGCACAGAAATGCTTCTGTCATCTCAAAATTCAATAAATTGCTTTTTTTTCAATTAAATACAAACAGCAATAACTAAGGGGACTCTGATTTTATGTGCCCAACCAAAGAGCACAGATTTATGGATCAAAGTTTTCAAATTCAACGCGGCCTGTTGCTTATCTCATGGAGTGTCAGTCAGAAAAAGAACAGACCTACAGTCAAACATAGTGGTGGTAGAATGATGATTTGGACACGAGTCACTCACAATCACTGGTGGAAACATTACATATCCTGGATCTGTTATACAGTTGGGTAATTATTAAAAACAGACCAGCAGGGTCACCTTATGCGGGGCATAAAAATTGAAGGTCTGGGATTGGCCTAGTCAAAGTCTGTAATTAACTTTGAATGAGATATTTTGGTGTGAGCCTAAACAGACTATTTATAACCTTGATGAGGTTTAATTTAAAACAAAATGCAATAAAAGAGAGGTTCAAAATTCCTCCTATGGGGGCTTTTTTTAATTTTAGCAACAGTTAGTAACAGTTGTTAACCCCTGCTATGGGGCGCAGTGTGCACATCATGTGATTGGGCCTCTCCAGCAGATAAACATGCTTTGATCCTAACCATTCCTTTGTAGCTCTAGCTGTATATTTATGGTTGTTTTCCTGCTGGAAGATGAACCTTTCCCCTAGATTTAGTCTTTTGCAACCTTTTTCACAGGTTTTCTGCCCTCTATGTAGCGCCATCATTTATCCTGACTAAAAAATAATGCTGCCACCACCATGTTTCACAGTGAGGCTGGTGTTGGTTTTTTGACATCCGTCCAACCAAATGTTTGTAATCATAAGAAGAGGACCTTCTTTCACGTTTTTTTTTCTCTATTCTCTGCATCACTTCGACCAAATGCAAACTTTATGATTTTATATTTTTTTGACATCCTAATCTTCTATAAAGGCAGAATTTTAGAGTGCATTACTAATACGCTGTGGGCAGATTTTCCCACATGAGCTGGAGATCTCAGCAGTTCATCCAAAGGTACTATGAGTCCTTTGGTTGCTTCTCAGATGAATACTCTCCCTTATTACAGTTTAATTGAACTATGTTTTGGTTTGCAATTATGCCATACTTTTCCATTTTCAGGTGATCTAATCAAAAGTTGCATTTGCAAAACTGTCTGTCCCTGTGATGCTGTTTGCTCACTAAAGTCATAAAACATATAAGGCCATCACAGAACAGCTGAATAATCATCTTATTTCAAGTTGATTTCATTTACCTTAAAGAAAGCTAAATAAAAAAACTGTTTTTTTTTCTTTAAATTCTTAAAACATTCATCCACTTAATGATTGTGTTATGTTGGTACATCTTAAGAATTCATGTAAATAAACTGAAGTTTATTGTAATGGGGCAAAGTTTGTAGAAAGAAAGAAGACTGCTATTAGATTACATGTTTTAATAAGAAGAAGGTAACAAATGTGCTTAAAATGTGACAAATGAAGTTTATTTATGTAGCACCATTTTATAACGCATGTCATCACAAGACACTTCACAGAAAATTAAACCGGATAATACAGACAGATTGATTAAAAGTTTATATTAGAGAAAACCAGCTGATTGCATCAAGTCATTGACTCCCAGGACATGCTTCTCCTGGATGAGCTTGCAGCGATGATGTTCGCTTGCATTTTGACGACTTTTGACGCAGCAATCCCTCACACGATTCATACATGCAACAACCGTGGAAAGGAAACACTCCCTTTAAACAGGCAGAGGCTGATTGTTTTAAGTGACTTCTGGCAAGTGAATGACTCATTGCAATCTGCTGCTTTCCTTACAAATAAACTTTTTTTTTTTTATCAATCTGGCGGCATCTGACTAAATTGTCTTTAAAGTAGCTTGTGATGAGATGTTGCAAATTGGCGCTATATAAATAAACTATTAAACTTAAAGGGATAGTGGAGGATATTAGCGAATTTTGCACATGCAGAACCCTGTACCCGCTCCTGAGAGGGAACTCCTATTAAACGCGTGCGAGAGCATGCATGAGCCCATTTCTCCTCGTGCACGCTTTGTTTAAAAGCTGCTGTTTGCGTCGCTCATACAAGCTTACTTTCTAAAAGATTTTCTAAAAGACAGTTAGGGGGACCACTTATTTTGATGATCAACCTGGAAAAAGAAAATCCTCCAGTATACCTTTAACTTTCAGGCATTTTATTGGCAGCTTTTTGAATGTTTCAACCATTTATTGATTATACAATTTAATAAGATGGTTTAAAATGCACATGCACAAACTGGTACCCGCTCCTGAGAGGGAACGCCTATGAAACGCATGTGAGAGCGTGCACAACCACATTTCTCCTCATGCATGCTGTTTAAAAGTTGCTGTTTGCGTCGCTCATACAGGCTTACTTTCTAAAAGAAGATTTGCAATCTTTTGCAATTTTTCCAATTTAATTTCTACTTACATTTATTTGTTTATTGTATTTTTGGTGGCAATTAATTGTAAGCTTATTTATTTATTGAGGATTTATTTATTTCTGTATTTATTTTTAAATATGGCAGAGTGGGTCCTCCATATTCAGCAGAATGATTGACAAATAGGGGGACTACTTATTTTGATGATCCACCCAGAAAAAGAAAACCCCCCATTATACCTTTAACTTTCAGGCATTTTATTGGCAGCTTTTTGAATGTTTCAACCATTTATTGATCATACAATTCAATAAGATGGTTTAATATGCACATGCAGAACCCTGTACCCGCTCCTGAGAGGGAACGCCTTTTAAACGCATACGAGAGCATTCACGAGCCCATTTCTCCTCCCGCACGCTCTGTTTAAAAGTTGCTTTTTGCGTCGCTCATACAAGCTTACTTTCTTTGCAATTTTTCCACTATGTCAGACTCACCAGAATGATTGACAAATAGGGAGACCACTGATTTTGATGATCCAACCGGAAAAAGAAAATCCTCCACTATACCTTTAACTTTCAGACATTTTATTGGCAGCTTTTTGAATGTTTCAACCATTTACTGATCATGCAATTAAATAAGTTGAATTAAAATGCAAATGCACAACCCTGTACCCACTCCTGAGAGGGAACGCCTTTTAAACGCATACAAGAGCATGCACAACCCCATTCTCCTGGTGCACACTCTGTTTAAAAGTTGCTATTTGCATCGCTCATACAAGCTTACTTTCGAAAAGATTTGCAATTTTTCCATTATTTCAGACTCACCAGAATGATTGACAATTAGGGGGATCACTTAATTTGATGATCCACCCAGAAAAAGAAAATCCTCCACTACAGCTTTAACTTTCAGGATTTCATTGGCAGTTTTTTGGACGTTTCAACCATTTATTGATTATACAATTTAATAAGATGGTTTTGTTTTCATCTTGTCACCTAAATATAACACTTCACCAATTATGCAACTGTTTATGTTTGCTTTATTGGGCTAATTAACTCTTTGTTAAATAGTTATAAGCTATATGCTGAATTTTTAACTTTTTAAAAATAAAAATGGGTAAATAATAGAAAGGTGGTGGGGCAGCACTGTCCCCTGCAGACTGAACTCGGCCCGCCGACACGGTGGGACAGGTTTCCGGACACTCCCGAGCCTTCACGAAGACAACCTCTCCTCTTGTTCCTTTCCTCCGTCCCTCCTCCTCCTCTTCACGCCTAATGTTGCTGTACCTCTAACCCTCCTCCCCCCACCGTATCAGAGGAGTAGAAACAACAAGCCGCCATTTTGTTTGGCGGACAGACCGTCAGAAACGGGAGATCACCGATAGAAAAAGGAGCGACCCGGGCCGCCGACGGCAGCCGCTCCGAGAGCCGCAAAAAAGAAAAAAGAAAAAGAGAGACCCAGTGAGCAAACCGTGTCAGAGCTTTCCACTGGAAGGAAGGAAGGAGGCTAGACGTCAGTGGAGGGAAAGCCGCCTAGGTGTCCTTTAAATATATGTATTTATATATATATTGATGCATGCATGAGAAGGAAATCCTCCGAAAAATCCAAGGAAGGGGGAGTTTTACGGAGCGGCGACGGGGAGGAGAGGAGAGGCGGAGGAGGGCTGCCCGTTACGAGGGAAAAAAACCTGCGATAAGAGGAAAATACCACCATGAAAAATCAGTATGTGTCCGCGGCGGAGGAAGGACCGAGTCCGCATAGACAATTATAGAAATAAACTGCTGCCGGGCAGAAGAGAGAGGTGGAAAAAAAAGAGACTGGTGTAAAGAGAAGAGAAGGGGGTGAAATAACCAGGACCAACGCGGAGGGGGGGCTTTCAACATCACAAAGAGTCAATCACAGGATTTCTTTTTCTGTTAAAAAATATAGTGCCGATTTGAAGCATCCAGCTTCCGAAATAGCCATATTTTCTCTAAATAACGTTTCGCCTCAGCGCTGCTATTTTTATTTTATTTTTTTTTGCAGTTTCTCTCCGTGCATCTAACATCTTTTTATGAAGCACTGAAAGAAAAGTGTCAATATCGATAACAGTTTCCATCATCTGAGATCCCAGTTGTTTGAAACAAGCAGGAACTAGAGGAGGAACCTCTGCAGGGAGCATTGAGATAAGTAACCCGTTTGATCGTCGTCTGCAAAAAAAAAAAAACTTAATGAGATAAATCCAACTGCCCGGCTGATTGGCAATTAGAGCCTCGATTGCATTCGCCAAGATCTAAAATACTAAAAAAAAATTGCATTTTAAAGGGTCTGTTTTGCATCAATTGGGTTGCATCAACCAAATTTGCAATCTCAGTCTGTTCAGTGCCTTTTTGCGTGCACGTTTAATGCACATGCAAGAAAAAATAAATAAAAAAGGTTTTATTCAGACCAGTTGAACTACTTATTAAATCACTGTTAAGCCAGTTGAGTTGCGTTTGCAGCGTTGCCAACACTTGTATTCAAACTACTGCTTGTTGCCTTTTTTTAATATTTAAAGGACTGATACACACAGTAACAAGAGGGAGAAAAAGTAAATCAGTGACGGGATATTTCGGCTGTTGCACGAAACAGCCGCAAACCGACGTTTTTTCTCTCTCTCTCTTTGGAAACTTGTGATTTTTTTTTTTTTTTTTTGTGCCATCACGAATCATTTCCTCTTGCAGTTTTTTTTTTACGATCAGGCGATTTTTTTTTTCTCTTTTTTGGATCTTTACACTATGGAAGACCGAGTCGACTGGAGATCGGAGGACGGATCTTGGGACGTTTTTTATGTCATGAGGTTGTCAGTCGCCCGTCGACTCCACCTTCCCACCGCCTCTTGTTGAAAATCTCCCGAAGAAACAAAATCCCCGTCAGGGGAGGGGGACTGCTATCTATCTACCAGAGAGGTACTACAAACTCAGGAGGAGGATTGAGAAAGAGTCGAACATCGCCGTCCTCTTCCCCTCCCGTCCCCCCCGAGCGGTGGGGGAACGATCAGAAACCTTTATTAACGGGAGAAGGAAGGCGGAAATAAAGGGAAAACATCAGCCCTGAGTGGATACTTCTATATATATTTTAAAATTCGTCAAAAATATGGCCGATAATGTCCTGGAGTCTGGCCCGCCTTCAGCCAAGAGGCCCAAGCTGGCTTCCCCGGCTCTGTCTGTGTCCACCAGCGATGGAAACGGTAAATATATTAAATGCATTACTCCATCATGGACTAGCTTAACAACATTGTGCTTTTAAACTTAGTTGCTCCGAGTCTGGAGTTGTGGAGGAATTACTACTTGTTCAATTACGCATCTGAGTACGAAAACAGTCGCAAGTTAGTTTAAAAAAAAGTGCTAATCTGTAAGCTCCGGTTGCTTTAGTTTTTAACTTTTGTAGTCGTGCCACAGGAGCAACTTTCTACACTTCTGTTTTGATGCGTTAGCCTCAACAGGCTAACTAGCCGCGACTAAAAAGATCCTCCTCCAAACAATGGACGAGTCGAGACACCCCACTTCGCTTACACTTGCTTTTTTACTTAAAAAGTTAATAAAGTGAACACACACGGGCAAATATACAGCATATGGCAAGTTTTTGGAGATTATTACTCGTCATAACGCCAAATTAACGTTTGAAAACTAGCTTTTAGTGCTAGTAACTGAAGCAGAGTTAGCTAGCTAACTAGCTTAAAAGACACCCCCACCGAAAGAACTCAGCTGAGCTCTGTGAGGGAGATAGCTCATTAGTTTAACATTCACATACTTATTTTACCAACTTGAACGTGAACTAAGTAGCAAATAAATAAAAAAGGTTCCTTAATTTTGAAAATTTTGAACACTAACGCGATGGCTAATGCGTTAACGACAACTATTGTCAAGCTAGCTATTGTTCAACATCATTAAGTTAGGCGAAGCGGTGTGGACCAGCTGAAGTTGTAGCGCTGACCATGTAAAAACTGATCTAGTTTAATTGAAAATCCAAAATAGATTCATTTAAAGTGTCTAGTGTGTCATTTTTGTATCGGTCTCTTAAATATGTTTAAATGAAACTAGAAAAGCTGTAGGAAAGCTAACAAATTACCCTCCATTGTCTGCAGGGTAGCATTGGTGCACTTTTTGTAGTTCAGATAAAAAAAGGAAAAGTCAGGCAACAATACTAAAAGAACGTGTTTCACATTGATAGAAAGCTACTACAGCGAGTAAACCTGCAGCAAACGATAAGCAAGAAGCTGATTGGTACAATTCTTCCTCGTTGCTGTCATAACTTCTTGGCTCCTAACTTTGACTCAGTTTAGCAAATCCAATCTTTTCTCCATTTTCTGCAACATCTGTGATTTGTGATTCAAGTAAGATTAGGCAGAATTTACACTTACCTGATGCAAAAAAGCCTCCCTGATACAGTCATTAATATCTCTCCAGAATTAACAATTTACTCTCTTCAAATTTAGATTTATTCTTATTTCCATTAAATTTTTTTATGTATTCCTGTCCCGATCATAGTGCTTTGTCTTCATCTCCTTGCTCTCCAGCCTTTACCTGCCTCACAATTTCACAGAACTACCTTGCTGCTGCAGTGTTTACCTTTTTGCGGCTTCTCACCTTGTTCCCACTGTGTTTGCTCTCCATGTATGGCAACCCACCAAACCACAAACTGATGTCTAGGAGAAAAATCAGGGTTGTGAGAAGGTCATCCTGATGCACCCCTTAAACTCCCCATTCTGTCATGCAATAAATGCAAACCTGAGTGTATTTATTTGGGTTTCATATCATAAAATTAAGGGCTGAGCTCTTTGTCAGAGGATGTAAAGGGAATAGTTGCATGTTTTGTAAAAAAAAATAAATATATATATATATATATATATATATATATATAAAGTCGGATTGGTTTATAAAACAAGCTCTCATAATCTCACGGATCGCGTCTTCTTTGATTTAAAAATCAAAACATTTAAGGTTCAATAAATGCTCACTAAAACTTGACTATCTACCTGACATCCTTGGGCAGGGCAATATGATTAAGAGACATAAAGTAACTATTTAGGGGCTGCAAAAACCCTCAACACAAAGAAGAAAATCTGACTCCAGGATGGCTATCATTAGCCATGCATTCAACAAATTTGGCTATGTTGGACAGGCTGCTAGAATATATTAATTGAACCAAAATCTTAAACTGTCCTATTTAAGCTATGCCTTAAGTTGTATATGGAAAACTGCAACCAGGAGGGAAGAAACGGTTAATGTAAGACAAATCTATTTGGTAAAGAAGGAAAGCTTTATGCATTGTGGAAAGTTAACGCTGCTAATCACTACAATACAACATGGTGGCAGCATCTAGCTGTGGGTCTGCTGATTGGAGATGGTGGTAAGATGCTGCATGGAACTAAATAGGACGGACCCTTAGGCTTGGCAGTGATCCTATTAGGGCTGCAACTAACAATTTTGCGAATCGATTCATTTGTGTTTTTGATTTTTTTTAAATATATTTTATGATGAATTGATCAATTATCGGATTGCCAAAGGTTCCTTAAAGAAGGTTTTTTACAAAATTAAACCAGGTGAAACCAAAACCTTACCATAATTGAGAGACTGAAACATCTTTTTTAAAATGAAAAATGTTTGCGTATTTTTTTTTTTACAAATTAGATATAATTGCTGCTCTAAGTGGGTCACTCTGTCACCTAAAGGTATGTTTTACAGTTTCTAAACTCCAGTTAACGATTAATTGATTACTAAATTAGTTGACGAGTATTTCAGTAATCGATTAATCACAATTAAGCCAATTAATTGTTTCAGCCCTAGCTCCTATACATACGACCAGATGAGATAAGACAAAGTTATATTCATGTGTCAGAGCGGTTTAATCTAATATAATACCTAAATAAAATCAGGAATCTGTGGCAGGATTTTAATGTTCTTCTTCGTCTAAGCTGGTGGTATTTAAGGAATTTTTTTAAAAAGGCGATTGGCCTTTTCTTTCAGTCACCTGTTGTGTATAGCTGGTAGGTTTTCAGATGTATTTCCAGGCAATTAATTGTTGTAAAAAGTTTTTCTCAGAAAGGCTGAATTCTAATGCACGAAACACCTTTCAGCTTTTTTCAAAAACGCCAAAAATAAAAGCCTCTTTCTTTCACTGTTAAATTGGTAACTATTTTAGTCTGTATCATAAAGTCCTAATAAAAGACAACAGTATTTATGGCTTAAAAAGTATAGGACTGTAAGGAATTTTCCAGGCCAATGTTGGTCATGCAATGTTTTTTAAATTTTAAATGTTTTTTAAATAATTTCAGCTAATTGGATGTATCACTTTGTTTATGTCTTCCCCCTTTTTTTTAAAAACCTAGATTTTGGTTCATTTTTTGACCTGGAGCATGACCTCCCGGATGAGCTCATCAGTTCCTCAGACCCGGGTCTGACCAACGGAGATCCCAGCCAGTTCCATTCTAGTTTCGGCGGCGGCGTTCAGGATGCGGCTGCAAAACACAAACAGCTGTCTGATCTCTTGCGTGCAGGAGCATCCACGCAACCGGGTGGCCCCACTCCTAACAGTGCACCCTCTGGGGCCTCCATGTCAATGATGGGAGGGGTCGGTGGACCTCAAGGCATGCACCATCAGGGGCAGCAGCAACCTGGACTAATGCAGCAGGTTGGAATGGTGCCGAATAGAGCGGCGGCAATGATGGGTGGCCAGAAGGGCACCACTGGACAGCAGGGGCATCAGCACCAAAGTCTTATAGGGGGGCAGGTAGTGAATGGGTCGCCCAGAATGGGTTACCCTGGTAACACAGGAATGGGTAGCAATAGTAATATTTTGGCAGAGGCCTTGCAGCAGCAGCAGGGTGGTCCGACGCTGGGAGCTGGGGGTCAAGCAGGAATGAGACCACATCAGCCTGGTGCGATGAAGCAGGTGGGTAGACTCACAGTGAAAATGTCAACACTAGTTAGGTAGAAGTTGTTTTTTTTTATGTACATCATATGACACCTTAAATATGAAAAGTAGATATGCTTTGATGAATATTTGAAAAAATTCCTAAAAATGTTGCTTAATTAAAATGCACATAAGTTTGCAGGTAGACAGTCAGGTTTTTCTTCCTCATAAATTTAAATCCATAAGTAAAAGCTTTTAGTTTGTGCTACAGTGCTGCTGAGGATGAGTTTCTTTTTTTCACAGCAGGTGTAGGGAAGACTGTGGTTATGTGTTGGGACTCGCAGCTGTTCCACAGTTAGCTCTGTGGTATCGATGGTTAACCTCCATGCCACATTACAGTTGTGATTTTCTTCCAGTTGGTATGGAGTTATCTCTGTTAAACTTCAAGCAGCTAGGTGGAGCTGTTCTCCTGCATCCATCCTCTAGTTGTGAATAGTCAGTCTAGGGTGTATTGTCTGCATTTAGTTTATTCAAAGGCAGAAGCACAGATAAGTCATCTTCTGTCCTCTTTTCCCCATTTTATTTATTTATTTTTTATCCTTCTCCAGATGAATTTGATGGCTAACGCGGGGTCCTACGGTGGTACATACAGCCATTCTGCTGGCCAAGGGCTGCCTGGAGAGGGGCTGGCCCCACAGCTCCAGAATAAAACAGGCCTACCTAACAGCATGGCTGCCCAGTTCAACATGGACAAGAAGACGCCTCCTGTTCAAGGCATTCCAGGGATGGTAGGGATTGTTTTCTTATGCTCTGCTCAGAAGTTACTGCCACAGATATCCATCTCTGTTTTAGGGGTAGATAGATTTTTATTATTTTTTTTTTTTGAGCTTTTATGCAGCAGTTAGATTTTTTTTAGGTCTCAGAAACATCAACTTTGTGTGATTTCACTTTGAATAGCTCTGACTCCTGATGGAGGATCATAATATATATCATCGTTATTGATTGAATTATTTTTTTTTTTACTAATTTGATTGAAACTGATAAATTCACGATTGTTCCTTTTCTAGCACTTTGGTTTGAATGAAGTTAAAACTAGCTCATATATAATTTTATCATGTTAACCCCATTCCATACTCAAACCCTTTTACACTCATTCTTTATCAGCGTATTTGTCTCTTAGTTATTACGGGATTAAGAATCAGTCCTGCTTGCAGGTTTGAGATGATTCATATTCAAGATGTAGGGAGGTTTTAGCAATACTTTTGGAGAAGCTACTAATCCTCCCTTTTGTTTTCACAATAAGAACATATTTGATAAATGAGGAACCTCTCTCAATAAAAAAAAAGAAAAGAGACAATTTAGTCCTAGTTAGACAAAAGCATTTATTGTGGATTTGATTCTGGGTTAACTCTTGTTGATGGTGAAAACAGTTTTTCTTAACTTTAAGGCTACCCTCTGGGTGTAGCATTATCCAGGTTCAATGTATTTTAGACCCTAAACTACAGCTAAGCATTTCAGATTCTGAGGAATTAAAAATTGTCCTTTATTTGAGCCCTTAAAATGAATTTTGAAGCAAATTCTAATGTGAGCATCAAAAGTCGCCTATATATGCTGGTGTAGTTTCTTTTATATATCTGGTTCCCAAGGTACTGTCATATGAAGAGGTAGCATATATGTGTTTACNGGTTCCCAAGGTACTGTCATATGAAGAGGTAGCATATGTGTTTACACGGTTTCCGCAGGTCATTAAAAATCATTAAGTAATTAAATTATAATTGTTTTAATTAAGGCCTTAAAATTCATTAAATCTGATTATTGTGGCATTTAAAATTCTTTATTAAACAAAAAAAAATAAAAAGTTTAGAAAAACTAGTGTTTCACTGATACCAGTATCGGGCGGGCCCCCCAATCCAGCACCAAAATGGTGGTATCGATATCTGCGAGTACCAACAAATGGGGCAACGATACCATTTTGAGCGTTTGTCACCCATTCCAGGTAGGCAATAAAACGTTCTACTGGATTCACTTTGTATTAGTCTTTTTCCTGCTTCACAAAGGTAGGCAGCAGCTTGACAAAGCCATGATTGCAACTATTTTCCATCCAAGTTCTTCGTACATACACACACACATCAATTTTAAACAGATGGTATCGGTATGGTATCGGAATTGGCCAATACTGAACAGCCGGATATCGGGGCCAAAAGATGGCATTGGCGCAACACTAATAAAAAACATTTTTGTCTGATATATTATATCGCAATATATTTGCGCAGAATCAAGAGAATGCCAAGAGTTTGTGAAGCAGTAATCAAAGCAAAAGGTGGCTACTTTGAAGAAACTAGAATATAAGACATATTTGCAGTTGTTTCACACTTTTTTGTTAAGTATATAGGTGTTCCATAGATGTGAATCTTCAATATCCATTAAATTAAGGAGAAGTCTTTTTGGTCTGGATGAGCACCATTAAATAGCTGAAAATGAATTTTTTTATAAGGAAAGGGTTATCAGACCACACATAGATTTCCTTTATATTCAAAAAGTTGTCCTTATGAGCACTATTGTTTCACCCCACAATCAATCATGTACATCTAGACCTCATTCGTCTTCCCATTAGCAACATTACACAGACGTCTTTAACAAAAAAAAAACAAAAAAGACATTATTCACTTGTAAAATAAACATTTTGGATCTCTAGAAATTGATTTCAGANTTCCATATTTTTACTGGTCGGCATTTGTATTATTTTGACTATGAAGAGGGGTATTTAAGATACCATAAATTAAATGTATTTTAGTGATCTATACATGGAACAACAGCGAAGAGAGTGCTTTTAATAAATGTAAAAACAGCCTGCCACAGTACACTTCATATAGTATTTTACATTAGCTCTAGCACCAATCTTCTCCTTTGCCATCTATAGGATGGTTTATACTCAGATATCAGGTTGTCTGGTTTTGTGTCTTAATGCAGATATGCCACCGCCCCTTCCACAGACACGCTGCTGCACCTCTCCAAAATTGTAGGTGACCGTAGACAGTGCTGCAGACAGAAGGCCTCTGATTTGTCTAATCGACATCCGCTCTATACTATGCGTATTGCCTGTTTGGTACCTTATTGGCTTGTTTTGTTGGTATTACTGCCATTGTGGAAAACGACTCTTGAAGATCAGAACGCTAGGACCCTTTTTCCACCTGGATCCCTGCGGCTTTTCGGCCTCATGTCCCTCCGTTGTCGCGCAAACTTGCCCCCTGTGTTTTTCCACTTCCTCACCTCATCGGACGTATGTAGACCCCTAAACTAGTTCGGGATTGTGCCTTTTGCCTCGTGGCATGGAATAACATAGCACAGACCATGTTTCAAAATTTGGCATAAATAAAAAATATCTGATACAAGCCCACTGCGACACACTGCTGTGGGGAGGATAACCAGCCCTTTCCTCTCCTTTGCGGCTGTAGCACTGTTTCTCCGTCTTTTAAAAATTTTTCTTTTCATTTTTTCATTTAAATCTTTACTCCCATTGGTGGGAAAAGGGCACTTACTATTGTCATGGTGACTTTTCAAATCTGAGCTCCACCGATAATGGCTTTTCATACTATTTACGCATGTGCTAAACTCCTCTTCTATCCAGTATTGTTTAAAGTTTAGTAACCTATTGGTTGGGTCAGTTTTTCCTCATACTTATTGTTGACTGTTGCTTAGTTAACAAAAAATATTTTCTAATATTCTGCACTACAGAATTGGCGATAAAACTATGTGTGATTTGTGCTTATATCGTATCAATTTATTATGGGTATCGGTCAATACGCAAAACTACAGTATTATAATTTTATTGGAAATGAAATGGTTGTATCCGGGCATCCCCAGTAGTGTATCATCGCATTGCTCCACCAGAATAGATCAGTTACATTAGCCTAACATTTATTGATTTATTTATCTTTTTTATTGTCTCACTCCATATAATAAATCTGTGCTTTACACATAAATATTCTACAGCGTTACAGCAATGAAGCTGTTGATACATTATTCTAGAAAATTCTCAAATCCTACAACTTCGTTTGCAGTCAGTGTAACCATAGTAACGTGTAATATGGGCCATACTACTCGTTTCTAGCTAATGCTGTATGTTGTGGTTGAAGGGAAATTGAATTGTTAAAACACACGGCTGCAGTCATCCTCTTTTCCATTTGGCTCAGACCCTGAGGAAATATTTTCTAATTGTAGGAGTTGATCATGGCTTTACATGTAAGATGAGTACATGGGGAAAGATTTTATTAATTTAATGCTATCTGCAAACATCAGAAAGTATGTAGATAGCCGATTCCCCTAGTGTTTGTTTACTCTAAGTTCAAATTTCAGTAGTAGCTGTAGCATAAATGATGAATTCTCTGCACCAAAACAAAATTTCCAGTTGTTTTATAACACTGACAATACAAGTATTTCCAGCAGAGAACACTGCAAGTTGATCTTCACTTTGATTTGTTGAACTAAACCATTTAGAGATGTTTTGTAACAGGAATTAATTTACAGTTTAAAGCCCATAACCCTGCTTCTCTATCACAGACCACTCAGCAGCAGCAGTCTGGCGGTGTGTCTGCATCAGTCGGCGGGCCCCAGGTTGGGCTGAACGCAGTGGGAGTAGGACCAGGGGCCACGCCTCCCACAGCCGACCCCGAGAAGCGGAAGCTCATCCAGCAGCAGCTCGTCCTCTTGCTCCACGCGCACAAGTGTCAGAGGAGGGAGCAGGCCAATGGGGAGGTGCGGCCGTGCAACCTGCCCCACTGTCGCACCATGAAGAACGTGCTGAACCACATGACTCATTGCCAGGCTGGCAAGTCCTGCCAGGGTGAGTTTGATAAAATGCACCATCTGCTTTGGTCGTAGCATAAGCAACGGGTTTGTTTGTAAAGATGCTCAGGGACTTTTTATGTGTTTGTATCTTTACTAGATTGTTACTATTTTTTTTTCTTCATATCTGGATGAGTTCTTCTCTCCTCAGTTTGTGGTTTTTCTTTAATTGACTTTGCTTCCACTGTCAATGAGCCTCCATCTGGACATAGTTCTAAAGCCTTCAATGACTCATACCAGAACTTTCTCAGTTTTGGCCTCTTTCTCTCCTTCTTTTGACTAATATTTTCCCCTTTCTGCCTCTTATCATTGTCATGTCATTCTTTTAAAGACTCTCACGCTTTCTACTTTTCTGCCTCCCCCCTCCAGTTGCACACTGTGCCTCATCTAGACAGATCATCTCGCATTGGAAGAATTGCACGAGGCACGACTGTCCCGTATGCCTACCGCTGAAAAACGCTGGAGACAAGAGGAACCAGCAGTGTGAGTGTTTCTGTTCTCACCCTGACTGCTGTCATTGAGCAATGATTAACTAAAAACACAATTTTAAAATCACGTCTATTAATTTCCTTTATCTCCTCCGCATCGCTGCAGCTCTGGTCAACAGTGCAGCTGTGAGTTTAGTGAACTCTTTAGGAGGAGCGGGACCAGGCAGCCAGTCGAGCACTCCAAGTCTCAACCCTCCCAACCAGATCGATCCGAGCTCCATAGAGAGGGCCTACGCCGCGTTGGGTCTGACATACCAGGGCAACCAGATGTCTCAGCAGCAGCAGCCGGCTCAGGCCGCCATGCCAAACCAAGGCCTTCAGGGACAGCCGGGGATGAGGACTTTAAATCCAATGAGTTAGTTCATTTTCTATTTCTAGCAGCAATTTTTCTAAAAGTAATTTCCTCATTCGGTTATATTGCTACAGTCATTTTATTGGATTTCATATAATGGAGCAGAAAAGCATATTTGTCAAGCAGCTACAGAGTAAAGTTTACTTAGTGAGACAACTGCATATATTGATTTCTTTGCAATTATAGTTTAACTACTTTGTTAGTCACATGAATCCTCATTAACATCCAAGCATTTCTGTGGTTTAAACAGGAAGTTTGAAGCTGGAGTTTAAACATTTTTGTAAGGTTGTTTCTGCTCCAGGCTTATCGTCTGATTTCGTATTCTTCTTAGAAATTATCTATCAATCAAACCGACTTTGCATCACTGTCCTTCTAGTTATTGGCTTCCTAATGCTTTGGTTAATGTTTGTAGTTTTTAAAAGCTGATCATATAAAGTCCCTTGCCTCTTCACACCAGGTGGTAACTCTATAGGAGTGAATGGTGCTGTTGGGGTGCAGCCTCCAAACCAGCAGTCACCGCTGCTGCCGGATTCCATGTTGCACAGCATGAATGCACAAAGGCAAGAGCTTCGTTGCAGCCACTCATCTACCATTCTGACAGATTCTAAATTAGCTTGGCATAGTCTGAAATGTTAACAAGTTGTCTGGTTCTTTCTCAACCCCAGTTTGATGAACGATAGTGTGGGGAACCTGGGCTCCTTGCCTACGGCCACACCCCCTTCAGCTGCAGGGATGAGGAAGTCCTGGCATGAAGACATCACGCAGGACCTTCGCAACCACCTTGTCCACAAGCTGTGAGTCGGTTGGATGTCGTAATTTCATAGAAATAGAAGCTCATAAAATAGATCTGGATCGTTTCCTCAGCTGACTTCAACGCTGTTAGAAAGATTTGTTTGGAAATCTGTTTTCTGTTTCTGTGTGAACAGAGTCCAAGCCATCTTCCCAACTCCTGACCCCGCGGCGCTAAAGGACAGGCGGATGGAGAATTTGGTGGCCTACGCTCGGAAAGTAGAGGGAGACATGTACGAGTCGGCAAACAGCAGGGTAGGCATCCCTCAAATGGAGGATGGAGAAATGTGCAGTAGATGGGATGTTTGTTATTTGTGTTGTGTAATTTCCTCCCACCCTCCTGCTGTGCTGCCTCCAGGCGGAGTACTACCACCTTCTGGCAGAGAAGATCTACAAAATCCAGAAGGAGCTGGAAGAAAAGAGGAGGACACGGCTCCAAAAGCAGGGCATGATGCCAGGCCAGCCCTGCATTCCTCCCTCTGGCCTCCCTCAGGGTCCTCCTGGCATGGGCCAGCCCCCAGTGCCCCCTGTGCAACCCACCAGTAAGTAAAGAATATCCACCTGATTTCTGGATATACAGATTTGGAATTGCTTGTATGAAGATAACCGCTACATCTTTAAAGCTACAATTGTATTTAAGTGATTGATATATGTGAAAATCTGTAGGGACCCCTGGTAGAAATAGCTGAAAAAGCCTCTAAATACCTTTTTTGTTTATTATTAACTTAACATAGAAAAACGAGCCAATGTATTTAGTTTGGGAGAAATAAATGCATGTTAAGGAATAAATATTTTAAACCTAGCGACACAAGTATTACATTTCCTTTAAATTCCTTATTGCAATTCCTTTAAAATAAATGACAGGTTTTGATTAAAATCAGGATTTTTCAGAACCTATTATGTGGTAATACATGATTTTATGTTTCTCTAGCTAGAAATGGGTAACCCATAGGTCCATTTTTTTTAATAAGTCTCCTGTAGGCTGAGCAAGCACCCATGTTTATCATCACATTACAGCACAGGTACTGAGAAGGATAGGAAGTCACTTCTGGGCCTGAACTGAAACAGCTTTTAACAAAAGAGGCTAAGATTGAAATTTTCTTAAAGAAAAACTTTTCTGTTTTTTTCTGCAAAACCTCTGGGGTGAGCTAAAGAGGAGAGCACATCAGAGCGGACCAACCTTTTAAAAGCTCGTCGTCATATTGGCTCAAATGGATTTGACAAATAATTAAAATCAGGATGCTGATTAGTTTTAGATTTTTATATTGTATTAACTTATCACTGAAATTTTAAATGAACGATGTCTGGCCTCAGAGCTGAAGTGATATCTGAATTTTTGTCATCCTACCAGATGGTCCCCATGCCGATCCGTCCATGATTAGACCTGCTGGTCCAAATCAGATGATCAATAGGATGCAGAACCCAGCAGGTATGTCAATTTGCAATTAGTACTTAATGGATACAAAGCTTTTTGTTGTAGCATTTTAAATTCCTTATTTCTCTTTTAAGGAATGACCCAGTTTCCTCAGATGGGGATGCAGAGTATGAGTCAGAGGTCAACGCCTCCTCTTCCTCTCAATCCTCAAATGAACCAGGTTAGCATATCTGTCTCTGAATAAGTAGTAATGTTTTTAGAAACAACCATTTTGGTGTGTTAAAACCTAATGAACTTTTAAATGGAGGGTTTGTGCTTCTTGAAGAGATTTAAAGGAGGCTGTCCCTGAATTGAAGAATTTTAATGTTCTTTGTTTTGTTTCCAGATGGGTATGGGGGCAACACGGATGGGTCAGCCCAGTGCTGCTCAGCTACAAAACCAGTACCTTCCTCCAGGCCAGTTTCCTGTCTCCAGTCCTGGTCTGGGTTCCGGTCCTGTTGGCATGAACCAACCAGGAGCCCAGTCTTCTGTGCCTTCAGTAGGCGTCCACTCACTTTGATTTTTATCTTCTGAAATTAAAGATTGATCCTTTATGTATGATTAGCTTCCGTGTGATTTAATGCAGAAATATTTATCTTGTGTTTGATCCTCTTTAGCAGAACCAGATGTCTACACCTCCATCCATTCCCGCCAGCAGCCCTGCAGCACCGTCCGCCTCCTCTGTCCCATGCTCTGGAGGAACTTTTGGTCCTTCTAACGGCAACGGTCCTGGACCCATGTCCAACCTTCATCCGACCTCCACCCAATCCCCCTCCTTTCCTCACTGTCCACCGGTCCGCACAAACTCCCCTTCGCCGGCTCGCAGCTTAACGCCTCAGCCTCATCAGACGCCGCCGGCACAACCCCGCTCTCAGACCCCTCAGCCACAGACCCCATGCACACCACAAGCTGCCACCCCACAACAACAGCAGCAGCAGCAGCAAACTCCCCAAATGCACCAGCCTGTCCAATCAGGCCCGACAGGGAACTCAGAAAAATCCAATCAGTTTTCAGAGCAGACACTTGGGGGCGTTGCCTCTCCAGAGCCTTCAGGAGCTCCGACTCCTTCCGTCCCATCACAGAACGATCATGCACCACAGCTGCCACACACTCCGGTAAACATAACTACTACTCCTAAATAATCCACAATAGAAAAGCTGCTTTTGTCATTCTTAAACTCTTCTCTTCTCATTTGCTTGTTTCTTAGTCCTCTCCTAAGCCTTCCCTGACAGCTGAAGGACAGGTTCCTTCTCCAGCTTCAGTTACAAGCAGTTCTGACCGCAATTCCCAGCTAGCTCCCACAGAGAGCCTTGCTTCTAGTCAGGATGACATCAAAATGAAGATCGAGAAAGAAGAAGAAGAAGAGGAGGAAGAGGATGTAGGTGGCGACGCTGAGGGAAACCGTAAGGGGAAGATGTGCAAGACTCAGTCTGAGGTGAAGCATGAAGACAAACTAAAGGTAAGATTGTCCTCATTTTCACTAAAAATGTTGCACATTATCAATGAAGAATTCCCACCTTAATGCGATCATCCTTTTGCAGACTGAGGATGAGAAGCCACCAAGAGATGCGTGTAAACCTGAGCCCATGGACACAACGGCGTCATCTTCTGGGTCATTGTCAGCAGCGGCAAGTGAAGACAAGAAGCCAGAGGTGAAGAAGGAGCCCAAAGAGGAAGAGGAGGGATCAGGGTCATCAGCCACCAACAGCTCCTCAGCCAGCAGCCAGAGCAAGAAGAAAAGTAAGTGCTGGTTCCTTTCAGGGGGGAGATAGAAGAGATTGAAGAATTTAAACCGGAGCATTTCTAGAGCTGTAATCTGCATAAAGATGACATATAGTTTACAATGGGTACTGAGCTTTGTGGTGCACAGTCTGTTATAAGGTTTCAAAAATATCCTTAAAGGTATAGTGGAGGATTTTCGCAGATTTGTCAAAAGACCCTCCCTCTCTGCTTCTAAAAAAAATATGCACATGCACAACCCTGTACCCTAGAGGGAAAGCCTGTTAAATGCATGCGAGAGCATTCACAAGCCCATTTCTCCTCGTGCACGCTCTGTTTAAAAGTTGCTGTTTGCATTGCTCGTACAAGCTTACTTTCCAAAAGATGATTTGCAATTTTTTCTTTTACCACTGGTAAGTGAAAATGGCGACGAGCACGTAGGACAGTCTTATGTAAACATATAACAGAATGGTGACGATTAGGAAGACCACTTATCTTGATGATCCACCTGTAAAAAGAACATCCACCACTATACCTTTAATTTAAGGACTGGGAAATAAGATTATAGAAATCCCACTTTTAAATAGAAAATAGTTATTTAGTGGTTAAAAATAAAGTGAAATACTTTTTTAAATTTTAACATCTCTGATGGGACAGCGATTGGTACCTCTGCAGGTGATACTTTCAGCAACCTTTTTTACAAACCGTAAATGCATAGACCTCTATAACATTTCATAATGTTGTAGCATTGAAGAGGATGGATGTTTTATTTTTATTGTATGATCTCTTTAGAGTTCTGACGCCTTCGGACACTTCAGTTCACCCTGTTGGTTTTCTGTGGGATTGATGATCATGGAAAAATGTCAATTTTGTGTCTGAACCGTTATTGTGGTTAGCTAGCCATAAGTTTGGACGATTGTCTTATCTGCTTGTGACGCCCTGCATTCAAAGCTTTGAAAGGTTAAGCACTCGCTCTGTATCACAGATCCTCCACTGTACTTAAGTGATAGCAAGCTGCTTATTTATCCTTTGTCACATCCTGATCCAACCTGTTTGTTGCTTAAAGGCTAAACCTTGCTTATCTGGTTTGGAGTTAGCAACAATTATTTCCTAAACTGGGATATCCCAATTTACGTGTTCAGCTATATGATGGAAAATAAAAGAAAATTTTTCAGATTAGATGCGCCTAAACATGGCAGGATAGCTGGTTCAGTACTTCCTATATCATATGTGTATTATGGGTGCTGTCCTGGAGCATTGCAGAAACCCTCATCTTAACTTAAGTCCTGACTTTTGTAATTTTTTACACTTCTCTCTTCAGTTTTTAAGCCAGAGGAGCTGCGTCAGGCTTTGATGCCGACCTTGGAGGCTTTATACCGCCAGGACCCTGAGTCCCTTCCCTTCCGCCAGCCGGTGGACCCCCCGTTACTGGGAATACCCGTACGTATTCGAACTAGTAACAAAACTAACCTGGTAAGGGACTGCACTGGCTGCCATTTTGCTTCAACTCCATCCAAGCATACCTTTAATTTCTGTTTATTTTATCCATTTTTTCCCTTGCTATTGTTACTTTAGATTAGAGTTTGTTTTATTTTTGTCTTCTTGCTGCTATTCTTTTCCCCTGCATGCTGAAAGTGAAGATATATTTAGGATTGTGTGTGTATGATTTGCTTTGTTGATCTTGTAAATCAAAGCTCTGGCTCTCATGAACATTAATTGAACTTTTTTCTGTTAAAGCTTCTGCTATATACATTAATCTATACAGCATTTATTTAAGTGGTTTGCTGCACACTTTCTTCTAATTAATCAGAATAAAGTGTGACTAATTGGAACCAAAATTTGTTCACGAGCCAGATGCTTTTATTTATCATTTATTTTATTTTTATCCATCTTTTTTTTGCCTTTATCATGTTTTTTATTATTTCTTCCATCCTCATAAACCATTGCTAGCTTTCTGAATTAGTTCCTCATCAGTAAGGGTTTAACAGTGTTCAGGTAGGAGATGCTGCGATGCCATAAAAACTCAGCCTTCACTTGGTCTGCCTCAGAAGAAGTATTTCTCTCAGACTGGCTGGGAAATGGAGCAAATTAGTAGATCTTTAAGAGTCGTCTGAGTTATTATTTTCCATCTTTTCTGAATTGGAAAAAAGAACTTGATTAGTGTTTGTAAAAGCCGCACCTTTATAACCTCCAACCTGGTTGTCATTTAAAGGTCCTATCATGCTTATTTAGGCATTGCAAATTAAACAATGTGCATATATATAATGGGAAAAAAAATAATTACTGATCAGTTTAACCCTTTATAGGGCACACAGTGAAATACTTTTAAAAAATCAAAATTTCAAGCCATTACTGACCTTACACTGCAAAAATGATCTATAAATCAATAAAAATGTCCCAAATTAAGTGTATTTACCCTTGATTTGACAAGGTTAATAAGATGATTTGCCAAATCAATGAGATTTTTACTCTTAAAATAAGATAATTACTTAAAATGAGACAAAGCAATTGTTTTTTTCTTATTTTAAATGTAAATTATCTTGTTCCATTGGCAAATTGTCTCACTTTCCTCCTCAATTGAAGAGAAAATTCACTTATTTTAAGAAAAAATAACTTATTTATTAAATTTCATTTTATTTGCAGTAACATAAAAAAAATATGGATATTTTAATGGAAAAAAAGTAATAACAAGAAACGCCAACTTGACCGAATATATAAATAAAAATAACAAAAGTGCCTCTATAAGAAATTCACGAAAAACACTCAGAGAGAGAAAGAAACACATTTTATTTGGTCCAACATGACCGTAGAGGCATTAATGCTGATAATGGCGCTTCCATTTTTTAGTTTATACACCTATATATAATTGTGAACTAGGATTATGAATTATTATGATTTTTTTTTTTACTTTACTGTATAACTTTTCAATTAGCTTTTTACCTTTTTTTTCTTGGCTTAACATTTTTTCGACTTAAGTTGAAAAAGTGGGTAATATATCATTCAAGGGCTCATCTAATTGGTCAAATGCCAAAATAAGATGCACAGCCATGTAGCAGGATCTTTGCTGAACGGCTGGATATAGATCTTGTGCTTCTAGACCTCACTGAGGGACAGGGGGACTCCATTTGTAATTTGATGAAAAACTGTAACTTGCCCTATAAAGAGTTAATTGCATCTGCAGTATAATCAGAATTTTGCAAAACTCTGCTCTTAAATCGGAGAGGAACTCAATTTTGGTCACATTACATTTATTAGGATTAAAACACTGACTGTCTCGCTCCAGGTCTTTAGTTGGCGGTAATATGCTAACTGTTGATTTACGAACACACAGAAAGGAACAGAGAATTGCAGCAAGTATACAGATCCATGCATTCAGGCAGAAGTAATCGCTTCTCTAGAGGCTGCAAAATACATGAGGCAGAGGTTCACTTTCTAACAGCAATGACCTTTAACATGCTGCCAGAGCTACAACGGATCAGTTTGGTAGAGTAAACCAGTTTACATTCTAATAATAATCTATTCCAAGACTTTAAAGTAGCATTTTGAACACTTCATTCTTATTTGTTATATTTATTATACTGTAATACTGTCACTGTATCTTGCGAGTGACACACTAATATTTTGAAAATCTCTAGATCTATTCATTTTATTCTTCTGCATAACAACTGGAGTCTGTCTCTACAGCCCGTTTTGGTAATATGCATCACTTGTTTGTATGTATGAGTGGTTCCATTCAGATATGAGTGTCTTTTAATATCTCTTGTTGCCATGGTGACACTTAGATGGACTCTGCTCTATGAAACTCACACCTAATAGTTTCTTGCTGTTGTTGGAACTTAAAAAGAAGTAGTTATTTTTTCAACGTCCTCCTCTTCGCTTCCCCATCAAACGGTGCAGGGTTTTGTGGAAAAGCGAGGGGGGGTGGCACTGACAGGAAAAACTGCTTCCAGCCATCGATGCATTTCCTTCACCTCAACACTGTTGGCCTGAATGCTGCCATCTCATTAGCACTCATGCTGCTGGCATTGTAGCTTAAAGCCTAGCTTTCCTGCCTGCTGCTCTGTTTTTCATGGCTTTGCACCCTGGTCAGTTGCTTATCATTGGAAGTTTTGTTTGCTTTTAGGTTTTAGCAGAGAATCCATCCAGCTGTCTAGAAAACTGTTTAAATCTACTGTTAAGGACCAATTGATTGAGATTTATGATGACATGCTCGGCCCCAGCTGCAGCATGATCATGTTAAAATCTTCTTGCATCTTTTGGGAAGATTTTTACCAGCTGTAAACTGGGCAGGCTGGTCCTCTGGCTGATGTAGATGGGTAGATTTGAGGTGTTGGGTGCAAAGCAGAGAGCTGGAGGGCAGAAGTTGTCATGTCTCTCTGTTTGCACATGAACCTTCTTCTTTGCAGCGCTCAACAACATTGTCCCCCTGCACCCTCTTCTCTCCCTACTCTGGTCCTGTCGGTTGCCTGCAATGCCGCCTTCTGTGTCAACAATGCCGATGATGCTGGTCGCCTTCCTGCTACCAACCTTCGTCGATGTTTGACGATCCTTTTGCTTAACCACTCAACCTGACCTAACATGGACAACCATCCCAATCCAGGACTACTTCGACATCGTCAAGAACCCCATGGATCTGTCGACCATTAAGCGGAAGTTGGACACAGGGCAGTACGAGGAGCCATGGCAGTACATCGAAGACGTCTGGCTGATGTTCAACAACGCCTGGCTGTACAATCGAAAGACGTCTCGAGTCTACAAGTACTGCTCCAAACTGGCCGAGGTGTTTGAGTCGGAGATCGATCCTGTTATGCAGGGCTTGGGCTACTGCTGTGGGAGGAAGGTAAATCACAACTGTTGTTTTTTTATCGTTTGTGTGGGTCTTAAAAACTCAACGTTTGACTGCTAGTTTACAAAGAATAGTGTTGAAAATCAGTCATTTATCTAAGATCAAGTTATTGTTGCCAAGTTATTTTGATGCTACAAAAAATAATTAACTCATCAAGGATATTAGCTTTGCTAATGCTACCTAAATTTAGCTTGCAAGCAGAGTACCTATATACAGGCTTTTAGCTAGGAATATATCACAAGGTGTACACCTTGGTGTATCACATCTTTAGGCTTTGCGTGTTGTTGAATGTTGAAATTTATACTCAGAAATGCTATTTCTTGCATTTTTAAGGTGGAATGTAGCTAGCTTTTTCTCTTAGTTACAACACTTTTGTCCTGAGGGAAGCATGTGTGCTTGAGTAGAGGGGGAAATTTCATAGGGAGATATCAGATCATCTTTAGGTACAATGTTATGTTTCACAGGTTAATAAAAAAAAAAATCAGAAAGTGTAACTTAAACTTACCGCTAAAGGTAAAACTTGATTACATTTAAAACAAGCTGACCAAACTGAAAAACTGTCTACAAATAAGCCAGGACTTTTTTTTTTTTCTGTGTATCTACTCTGTTAAGAATACAGCTGACCCTGAAGCGAATCAGAAACTTAATTCAGTCATGTTTTCATGTATCTTAGTACATTTTGTAAATGTAATCCGATGTGTTACACGAGCAGGTGTGTTGCGCCAAAGGGCAGTTATACCAGTTGCAAATGTCCAGAGGGCAAAATAAGCACACTGTCATCCACAATAACATCCATTTATCGATCTTTTGGAAAAAAAAAATCGAAGAACCATTAAAAAATCACAGCATCTGTTTGATATTTGTTACGGATTTAGCACAGATCGCTCCCACCTCCCCAGTTGTCATGTACGTTAGCTGTTCCAAAGGAAAGAAAAAAAAATAATAATTACATAGTTATCAGGTTTCAATGAGTTTTCATAAACTTTTCAAAGTTTTGCTTTCCTGCTTGCATACAGCGCCGCGAGCTTATTCCCGTGAATGAAATTGTCCGCAGGGACAGATATTCCACCATATTACTGGGGAAAATTAGGGCATGCCAAAGCCGTACATCCCCAATACAGGGCGTACAATTTCTAATATTTTTAGTAAATGTCCGTACCCATTGCTAGCTGAAAGCCTGCTTATATAAATGAAATAAACCCAACATGGAATGATTTGCTGGTTGAAGATATTAGTTATTGAGAGATAATACCGCTCTTAGAACGATTTGACTTATTTGTAACGTGTGTAAGTTTATCACTATGTTTTGGCTCTTAATGCTTTCAGTTCAGCCTCAATCCTCCTCAGGCTTGAAGATACCAAATTTTTAAGTGTTAAAAATAGCTTTGATTTAGTAGATTTAAGCATCAAACTAGGACTCTTTTTTTTCAAAGTCCTGAATTTAATTGAATCTGACTGAGACATCCATGTTTACCTAATATAGTGTAGCTCGAATAGTTATTAGCTAAAAAACAAAATACATGTTTAAATAAAATATAGAGGTTTTTAAGGGGGGATATTTTTCTTAATGAAGAGTAAATGAAAGATGTTTTTTTTGTCTCTTCCCTGTTGCAGTACGAGTTTTCTCCCCAAACCCTTTGCTGCTATGGAAAACAATTATGCACCATCCAACGCGATGCTTCATATTTTAGTTACCAGAACAGGTAAGAGCCTTCAGCATAAAACTACCTTTAGAGTGTTTTGCTTTTGTAAAGATAAAGACGAAGCTGCTGGGATCATCTAGTCTGTCATGTTTTTTGTTGTTTTTTTGTTGTTCTTTTTTATATTAGATATACCTCTGCAGCATAGCATCAGTCAATGAAATCACAGAAGAGATTAATTTTTGGCTTCAAATGTTAACCGTGGCGCCATCACCATCTTCATAGTTCACTGTTTTTAATTTTCATGAAGTCATTCATAAAGTGGGCTCCTTTCTTCTCCAGCTGTGCTTCGTTCACAGCACCATTGTTGCTGCATAAAATTGTAAAAACCTCATGCTTTCCGTTTGGGAGCAGGGTTGGTTTGTTTTCTCCACCGGAGGAAAAGCTCCCACTTTATGAATGGGCAGAAAGGATGATGGATCCCTGTTGCTCTATCTCTTCCTCATTCACCTTCTCATATATGGAGCCTTGTATCCTCACTGCCCTGCTGCCCCACGGCTCCTAGTGCTCTCTCATGTTGCTGTAATGTTTTTGTTGTTGTTGTTGTTTACCACTGGATGTCTGATGCTAATCTTTGCTTTGCCTTGGCTCTCTGTCCTCTGTTGGTTGTTTTCTACCTCTTATTCGCCCCTGCCCCTCTGTCTCTCCATCTTTGTCCCTGTCCAATCTGTAACAACTTATTACACATCTTTTTTTTTATTATTTATTTTTATCTTCTCCCCCCCCCATCTATCTCCTTGCCCTTCTCCTTCCTATTTTCTTAACGCTTGTGATGTCTGCATTGGCCTGCTTTGGTGTGACCAATCATCCACTCCAAAATTAATGCACAATCTCAAAACACAACCGCCCACACAAAAACCGCGCATCACGATTGGCCGCTACCTCCTGGCGACGGCCCACCCTGGCCTCCCTGCCTCCACCTGTGTGTGCGCGCTTCCCTGGCCTGCCCTGCCCCGCCCTGCCCTGATTGGTGGCTGCTTCTTCGCTCCCTCTCTGTGATTGGCTGTGCTGATGACGAACGGTGTAGTTCACCAAAATATGGGCTTCTTGCTGACAGGTACCACTTCTGTGAGAAGTGTTTCAACGAAATCCAAGGCGACAGTGTATCCCTGGGGGACGACCCCTCCCAGCCTCAGACGTGAGTACCGACACACTCCTAACACAACAACATTCAGCAGCTGATCCAACTAAAGCTGAGTTTGTGCTTATATAAGCTAAAAAAGACAAAAACGTATAGACCCTTCTCTCTGGTCCTCACCTGAACTCCTGTAATAAAAACCTAAAAGGTCCTACCAGGTAGAGGCGAATGCACAACTAAATCCCTACATAAAGCATCCCAGTCCATCTTCTTATTTTAATAGATCAGTTTTTTTAGTAAATAAACACACCAGTCTTTCACTAGATGTGAGGAAAAGGCTTGTCCAGTTGGATAGTTAACCATTCAGTAGCCTTTCTGCTTATTATCAGCAGCTGTTAATGTACTAAGGTCAGAGACAAGAACGTCACAATTTGGCATCATATGAAGGGGTGTGGCCTGGATTACAGCCTTAAAAACACAAATATTACTGTAAAAATAAAACTTTAAATTTGGATATGTGACTTCACTATTCACAGTGACTAGTGCTACAAAAATGTCTTGTCAAAATCCTCATATTCTCTTGTATCAAATAAGATGTTGTTTGCTAGTATAAAAGAGGGGATGCATGTTTGTCAATGTAGAGTCAGTAGTAGACCAACTGTCTAACTAATATCAAGGTATGCAAAATGTTTAGGAAGATGGATGCCAAGACTGTTTAGAGAGCTGTTAGCATAGCCTAATGTCTCCTCTCTCCAATAGCTGCCGCACTCTTCTGATAAGCTGGTTTAAAGGAGGTTCCTATTTTATTTTTTCCGTTTATGGTAAAGACTGATTTGGCTGTTTGGGAAAAACTTTGGTTTGCGAAAAAACAGTGGGTCATTGTGTGGAGGATAAGTAGCGGCAGCTCTATTAAAAAAGACACAAGTGTTTTTAAAATGGTTAGTTAGCTACAGATGGTCTGCTGTTTAGCTGTAGAATGCAGGCTAGCACCGGTACAGATATCCTTACTGATGAACCAGCCGATAGCTGCCTGCAAACAGGAGCTCTTTACAATAAACTTTGGCTAAATTTGGTCAATGCTTAGTCTAGTTCTGTATCAGTAAATGAACAGTAAAAAATATTAAAACATTTAAACATAAAGGTATCGATGCTTTAGGGGTTATGTGTTTTTCTGTTTAAAATTAAATAAGATGTTTTACTATTTTTCTAAGCTTATGGAAATGTTGCGATTCTGTAATATTTATACTCACGGTTATCATATTTTGTGTACAACCACAAAAGGCACGGTTTGCCTTTTTTGGATGTTTTTTTGTTATCTGGTATCTTTAAGCAATAGAGGTTAAAGGTTAAAATAGCCACATTTCCTACTCTGTTCAGTCTTTCCTTTTAGTAGCTTTAAACCTCCACATTTATCCTTTATTTATGATGTCAAACGAAGATCAAACTTTAAATTTACTAACATCCAATCCCAGTAAGGCTGCTCAATCTGAATATTGTTGATTTCACCGAGCATCTCCAGCTTTAGCTGCAGTGTTGACCAGTTGACAGAGAAAGGTGTAGAAAATAATGATTTAAATCTGTGATACATTGATAGAATCATTATATTAAAATTCTTATTATTCATTAATCTAATAATTAAAACCAGGCGAGCCAAGTATTTATGACAGTTTTTGTCGACGCTATTCAATCGTACAGTCAAAGCCGTTTTAAATGAATCTAAAAGTTGTTCCCAGTGATGTCAGAGCATTTAAAGTCCTGGTTCATGTACTTTGAATCGGCAGAGGAGATCATTCTACTGCAGCGTTTAATTTGATGGAAACCTTTTAAGTGACTGCACTGTTTAAAAAAAAAAAGTTAGTAGTTGGTCATAAAACAATACCTTTAAGCAACACTGTCTAAATTTGGACCCTAATATTTGAATTCAAGACATGTTAAATGATTGTTTCGGTCAATATGCAGCCCTTGTTGCGTATCAGTGCTCCGTGCAGGCTGCTCTTCCCAAAAACGTATCTATGTAATGTGAAAGGGATTGAGGTCATGTGACGCAGAGCGCCACTTTACAGCAATCTGAGCTCCCTTTAAACACAAGAGGTCACTAAAATAAAAGTTGTTGTTGCCAAATAGACAGATCAGACATAAGTTTGGTACCCTGATGTAGGATTTAATCTAAAAAGAAGAATGTAGCCTTTTTTTTTTTTTTTTTTTTTAACCAGTAACTCCTTTACTTCTTAATCTCCTTTATTAAAGTTTTTTATTAGCATTTTTCAATACTCAGAGGGAGATTGTTTCATTTTGTGCTGTAAATTGCATTTGTAGACACCCTCTAGTTCTAGTGCCCATGGTTGCTAAAATTTACAAAGTGGTGCTTTAAAAATATCAATGGGGAAAATCAATACCATAATAATTAATGATTTAACTGCAGTTCACTAATTTCAACATGTACCCGTCATTCTAAAAGCTCAGATGTGTTTAGATTATTGATGCACCAAACTGAAATTTTCTGTAATATTCAGGATATTGAGCAGTCTGCTCTATTTATGACTGATATTATGCAGCCGAGCTTCACATATAATTCCTTCATTCCCACAGGTCTATCAATAAAGACCAGTTCCAGAAAAAGAAGAACGACACCCTTGACCCTGAGCTGTATGTAGTCCTCTTGGCTCCCCACTCTGTTGTTCTTGTTTAACTTTATTGGACTTGTCCCAGTACGAGCCGTCCAGTCAGGATCGTCTCTGTCTAGTTCCTGACTTTTGTTTCCTCTCTGCTCAGACTCGTGGAATGTATCGACTGCGGTCGTAAAATGCACCAGATCTGCGTCCTGCATAATGACACCATATGGCCATCAGGGTAAGGAGGCGGTTCCACTAAGGTTTTAAAATAAGGACATCTTTATTTGTCCTTAGAAATTATTGAAAAGTTTTTTATTTATTTTTTTTATTTTAAGAGCCAATTTAAACTTTTTCTTTTTAATTTCGTGTTCATTTCCAGCTTTGTTTGTGACAACTGTCTGAAAACAGCCAACAAGACACGAAAAGAGAACAAATATGCAGCCAAAAGTAAGTGGACTCTCCAGACACGCCCTGGGTGGTATGAAAGAATTAAATGGCAACATGCATTGCTATATGCATATGATCCTGTCCCCTTGTTAAATGTATGTTAAAAGCCTTAGAATTGTTTTATTAGTGTAGCAAAACATCACTCCCATAGCAAAAAAGCTAAAGTGCTTAGCATCCAGATGATTGTTTCCACAGCAAGAGTCTCTCATGAACCTGACTTTGTTTCAGGGGCAGATTTTCCTTCGCTCTGTAAATTAGGATGTTCTACATTTTTATCCTGGTTAAATATCCTCAGCATTTATTTAATGTTTTCTTTTAACTTTAAATATGATCGTAGGGCTTTTTGATACAAGACAAAATATTTTCCCACAGCTATCTGTACTAAATATCAGCATTTTTTGAGGGATGGGATTCAAATCTTTGATTTAGAAAAAGGCATGTTTGCCACTGTCTGTGTCCTCACAAATATAGGAAGAGAGAGAAAGTAGTACTTCTAAAAGAAAAAAAGGATATAATATTTTTCCATGTTTATGCTTTGTGGTGCAAAATAAGCATCATAAATTCCAGGATCTGGGATTATTTGCTGATTTTGAAGTTGGTACAGATGTTCTCTGCAGCAGTCATTGGGCTGATTGTTGTTTGGCACAAAGACACAGGACACACAATCATGTAAACACATCCTACATATGTGAAGTTTAGAGACCAGTAGACCTAAGATTTATGAACAGTACCAGGAGAGGATCCAGACTCAATGAGAAAGACTGATAGAACTGTCTTTCAATCCACCATAATCTAGACCTTCATGCTGGTTTCCGCTTATCTTTACCAGGAAATGTTTGAATAAATCTGGGCCGGTTGGAACAGAAGCGTACGGGACATCACCACATTCAAAGCTAGTCTGGAGCTGCATTTAACCTACTGCTATTAATAGTAATATAAATAATAAAATAATAAATCATTACTTTTTTATTTAGTGAGGGAATGATGATTAACAGACAGACACAAATCAAATGAACATTTTGCCAAATAAAACAAGGCAGACACCATCAGAGCTAGCGGTACTTGACACAGGGCTATACTGAGAGACTGCTGCTTCAGACGGGCTAAAGTTAGCCCTCGCTGCAGTTAGCCTCATGCTACGTTCAGATCACAAGCAGCCAGAGCATGTGTGGTGAGAAACAGCCTTTGATTTGTTGGTGTGATTGATTTTTTTTTCAGGACTTCCTCAGACAAAGCTGGGGAACTATCTGGAGACGCGAGTGAACGACTACCTCAAACGGCAGAGCCACCCCGAGTCAGGAGAGGTTACAGTCCGTGTGGTCCACGTCTCGGACAAAGTGGTTGAGGTCAAGCCGGGCATGAAGTCCAGGTCAGTTGATTTATTTTTCTTCATTCATACATAAAGACAGCTAACTACTAATGGCTGGATTATAAGGTGTTTCATGATTAGTTAGGTTTGCTTCAGTTTAGTGTTGTCTTTTCCTGAAATTCCCCGGCTGTTTTCTTCCAGGTTTGTAGACAATGGAGAGATGGCCGAATCTTTCCCGTACCGGATGAAAGCCCTGTTCGCATTTGAGGACATCGACGGAGCTGATGTGTGTTTCTTCGGCATGCATGTTCAAGAGTACGGCTCTGACTGTCCACCGCCGAATCAAAGACGGGTGTACATTTCCTACTTGGACAGCGTACACTTCTTTAGACCTCGACACCTGAGGACGGCCGTCTACCATGAGATCCTGTTGGGCTACTTGGAATACGTCAGAAGAATGGGGTAAGTAAAAACAAGTGTTTCTGAAAATACAAGAAGTGTATTTTTATATCAGTAAATAAAAACAAAGTCTTTTCTAATCGCAGGTATACGACGGGACACATCTGGGCTTGCCCCCCCAGTGAGGGGGATGATTACATCTTCCACTGTCACCCACTGGACCAGAAGATCCCAAAGCCCAAACGTCTGCAGGAGTGGTACAAGAAGATGCTGGACAAGGCCGTTTCTGAAAGAATTGTCCACGATTACAAGGTGATACCTTCTACTCATCCTGTAGCATCATTTTTAAATCAAACTTTTCACTATAAGCAGCTATGCAGAAGTTGGTCTATTGTACAGTGGAATGAATTAAAACAGGAAAGTGTTCATCATCCAACTGTTCACTTGGTTACTTAACAGTGAAGCAAAGGAAGAAATCCCTCTATTGCAACCTCATTCAGTTGTGAAGGCATTGGGCACTAATGCTAACACAAATATTATTGGATCAATACAGAAGCTAAAAATTTCAGCGTTAAAAAGTAAGGCAGCATAGCTTATATTATTAGGTCATTTTGCCAGACAAGGCAAGTTTATTTCTATAGTACAATGAGTAAAAATGATAAATTAAAAGAAGTTAATTATGAAAAATTGATTGAATTGCAGGAAATTTGGGCTAAAAATGTAACAAGTAACGTTTTTAATCTCGTTTTAAAACATCTTAGGGTTTCAGTGCTTGTACAGATTTCTGGGCTCTTATTCCAGATTATTGGAGCAAAAGAACTAAAAGCTGCGTTTTCATAGCAACCTACCTTGCTGCAAAAGTTGTTCGCTAACGAAAATGTTTCATAGAATCCCTGGATATTGTACATGGGTGCGGCAAGGTATATTTTCAGTTTTTAATGTTTGTAATGTAAAAACATTTTGGTCTAATTTATTTTTTTATGATTATTCTAAAGCTCTATTGAGTTGAATCATACTTTTAATCCTTTTATTTTTCCCTTAGTAATTTAATTTATTTGTTTTGTCCAAATATAAGGCATTGAAATATTCAAATGATTTAACTTTTTTGCTTTTAACAAGAAAGAACCCTGTGCCTTAAGAAAAATGTTGCCAACATTTAAAAAAAATGATTGCCAAGTATGAAGTGTGTTTCTTACTATCAGAACATGGTGTGATATTTTGGATATCCCTCAACCCGATTGATAACCTTGATGATCAGGTAGTGGCTGCATCATGCTGTGGGGATGCCTTCTTCCACCAAGACGGAGTGTCTGGTTAAACCAATTGGGAAGATGAACATAAAGGTTAAGGAAGAAAGAATGGAGAAGCTGTTTAAGACTTTAAGAGGCTGGAGCGTAGGTTCCTCTTTGCACAGGACAATGAGACCTAATGTAAAACCACAGATGCAATGTTTTAGATCAAAGCATATTTAATTTAAAATCTTCCCAACACCACCTGCACTACATTGATCCATCACATAAAATACACTGAAGTTTGTCACACAATCTAAAAATTGAGCTGCAAGAGGTTGTCAGTGTTGAAGCTCTGCTGAAGCAGCTTTTTCTTTCGGTCTTCTAGGACATCTTCAAGCAGGCAACAGAAGACCGCCTGACGAGTGCGAAGGAGCTGCCGTACTTTGAGGGCGACTTTTGGCCCAATGTACTGGAGGAGAGCATCAAGGAGCTGGAGCAGGAGGAAGAGGAGAGGAAGAGGGAGGAGAACAGCACCTCGAATGAAAGCACAGATGTAGGTAGAGCCAGAATCTGCTTCTTGCCTCTTCTCCTCAGGACGTGCATTGACTTCTGTCTTCACTTCAACATCCACAGGCCACTAAAGGAGACAGCAAGAATGCCAAAAAGAAGAACAATAAAAAGGCGAACAAGAACAAGAGCAGCTTGAGCCGAGCCAATAAGAAGAAACCAGGGATGCCTAGTGTTTCCAATGACCTCTCTCAGAAACTCTACGCCACCATGGAGAAACACAAAGAGGTACAGTCTGACTTTGGGATCTTATCTAATGTCATAGTTTTTTTTTTTTTTTTTTTCTTAGTTTAAAACAAATTACTCAATTTTACATTTAGACCTGATAACCATGGATCCTTTTTGATTTAATTCAGTTGTGTATTTCTAGAAGTCAGCTTATGTGTAGAGGGACCTGTGTTTAATTGAACCTCTGCAGGGATTAGATGGAGGCCTCAGAGGATTATTAGAAAGAAAACATGGTAGAAGGTGCCACTGATCTCTATTTATTCACTAGATTGCTGATAGCCTGTTGGTAGTACAGGGTGGAGTGAAGTCACCAGCCGCCATATTGGGACTACCTAGTTAGACCGGTCACAATGTAAACATTACGAGTGCTACAGCATCGAACAACAATGATTTTCTCATTTTCAGGGGGCTTATGTTTTTAAAATAAAGATTAATTCATCACTTTGATACACACTTGCGGTTTCATAGCATCAGTAGATTACTTTAACTTATATAAAAAAAATTGACACATCACATTGCATAGTCAGTATGTAGTCTATAAATCATGTAGTAAAACTTTTTTTTACAAATCCATCAAAACAAAATTAATGTGTTAATAGATCATAATAATACAGATGTGCCAAAAGTGCTAAATTGTTGATGTACATGTATTGACATTATAATGGTAATTGCATATTTCATAATTTTAAGATTTTACATCAAGTCTGAATTACAAGTAAATGTCTTAATTCTGTAGTATTTTTCTATTTGCAAATTGTGCATAAATGATGCCATATACTTTTATGCTGTGTCTGTGCATTAGCTTTTAAATCTGAAATAGATTTACAATAGAGCTAAATTAATTAACTGATTTTGTAATTGGAAAGAGCCTCTGTTTCTACATTTGCAAAAATCACATAACAGGCAATATAAAATTCATATTTTGTTTTTTGCTCATAGTTACAAGAATCTAATCATTTGCATATACTTTACATACAAGTATGTATGCACACATGAATACAAACATACACTATCCAGTGATTGAATAACTTAAATAATGTAACTTTCACATGTAGAGTGAATTCGCATTCAAATATACATGTATATATAACCTTTTCAGTCAGTATAACATGTTATATATATATCAGCACATGACTTTTTCAAATGAGAAATATACCACACACTACAAAAACGTCAGCATCATCATCATCCATTTAATCAAAAAAATACTACATTGACATTTAACAGGGAATTACTTTCTATTTATTCTTCCCTCTATTTTCTAACATTAGACACAATGTCAGTGGCTGATTTAGTCAATGTCTTCAAGTTGGTCGGAGATAGTCAGACTAATGTTACGCTATATATTATACTATAGGATGCATCGGTGAATATATGGATTTTCTTGGTTAGTTCATCAGCTGACTGTGAAATTACCTCTGAAACGTCTTTCAAGAGCCAGCAAGCTGCTTGTTGTAGCTGACTGCAGACAGTGCCGCAGACAGGAGGCCGGCTTGTTTAGTTTTTATGACCGAAATTGCGGAAAACAACTCGTGAAGTTTAACACGCTAGAAGAGCGAGGTGCGCGAGAACGCTGGGACCATTTTTCCACCTGGATCTCCACTCTTTTTGGCCCTCGTGTCCCTCCGTTGTCGGACTAAACTCGCCCCCACTTCCTCTCCGCGCCTCGGCCGTATCTAGACCCACAGCGTGTAGCACAGACCACGCTTCAATATTGAGCATAAATCAAAAATGTCTGCGTCAAGCTCACTGCAACACACTGCTGTAAGAGTATAACCAGGAAGTGAGGTAGGAGAGCAAAACAGGTTTAGCGCCACCGCAGCACGGGAGGGAGAATTACGTCCAGGAGCAAATGGATAAAAATAGACCAGAGGGGAAAAAAAACATGAATCGATACTCTCTCGCGGACGTGTCGATGCATTGGATCGTCGGCTGTTGGATCAATGCATCGATACAAAACGATTATTATTTACACCCCTCGTACACATGTAGGAATTTTAAGGCTTATGTCTGAGAGTGGGGGAATACCAAGATGGCGGCAGGTGGATTTACTTTTTTCAGGCTATCAGCAATCCAGTGAATAGAGATTAGTGGAAGGTGCTGCAGGTGCTCTGAAAACTCTGAGGAAGATGGGCCAATAGCTTACTAACTTTCTATAAATGTTTAAAAAAAATTTCCCATTTTTCTTTGTTAGGTTTTCTTTGTCATCCGCCTAATTGCTGGCCCCACCGCCAACTCGCTACCCCCCATCACGGACCCCGATCCTCTGATGGCCTGTGACCTGATGGACGGCCGCGACGCCTTCCTGACCCTGGCCCGTGACAAGCACTTGGAGTTCAGTTCTCTGAGGAGGTCTAAGTGGAGCTCCATGTGCATGTTGGTGGAGCTCCACAATCAGAGCCAGGACCGCTTCGTTTACACCTGCAACGAATGTAAACATCATGTGGAGACCAGGTTCCACTGCACTGTGTGTGAGGTAAGAATAATGAACCTTTGGGGAGGAATGCAGAAAATATCTTATTAAAGAGATGTCTACATTAGTTTCCTTTTTCTCCTCTTTCTTTAGGATTATGACTTGTGCATCACCTGCTACAACACTAAAGGCCATGAGCACAAGATGGATAAACTGGGGCTTGGCCTGGACGATGATAGCAACAACCAGTCTGCAGCGGCCACTCAGAGTCCTGGTGACTCTCGCCGCCTTAGCATCCAGCGTTGCATCCAGTCGTTGGTCCACGCCTGCCAGTGTCGCAATGCCAACTGCTCCCTCCCGTCATGTCAGAAGATGAAGCGGGTCGTTCAGCACACAAAGGGCTGCAAGCGGAAGACCAATGGTGGCTGTCCCATCTGCAAGCAGCTCATCGCCCTGTGCTGCTACCACGCCAAGCACTGCCAGGAGAACAAATGTCCCGTCCCGTTCTGTCTGAACATCAAGCAGAAGCTCCGGCAGCAGCAGCTGCAGCACAGGCTCCAGCAGGCTCAGATGTTGAGGAGGAGGATGGCCACCATGCAGAGGGTCGGTCAGCCTGCGGGGGGGCCTCCTGGAGGAGCGATGGTAGGGCTTCCATCACCAGGAAACAACAGTGCCACGGCGCCCAGTACACCGACGTCAGTAGGTACCCAACCTCCAACCCCCCACACCCCAACTCAGAATATGCCTTCAGCGCCAGCGCAGGGAGGGGGTCCTGGAAATGGAGCGCAACAGCAGCAAGGAGGGATCCCCCCTCAGCATCCACTAAGCCAGTTCCAGCAGATGAGCAGCGGAGCCGCTGGGGCGGGGGGACTTATGAACTCTCCCCAGCACCAGCAGCAGATGCTTCCTCAGATCCAGCAGCAGCAAGGTGGCCCAGGGACCAACCCTCACCCAAATTATGCTGGCAGACCCCCTGGCTCCTCCCCGATCCACCAATCCCAGGGTAAACCACTTATCGGGTCATCAACACCACCCCAGCAGAGCGGTGGGGCAGGAATGCCTGGAAACTTAGGCGGCCAGCAACCTCCCGGTCAGCCCACAGGCCAGCATCCACTGCAGCAGCAGCCCCCCCAATCGGGGCCCCCACAAGCTGCTGTGGAAATAGCTCTGAAGATCCAGCAGGTAGCTGACGCCCAAAGGAAGATGGCTCTGCAGAGACAAGCAGCTACTGGCTTGATGCCGTCCAACCCTCATCACCAACCGGGTCAACCTCAGCAGATGCCCATGGGACACAGTGGGCCCGTAGGGATGGTAGGACCGCAAGGAATCCCGCCTCAAAACCAGACCGCTCCAAGGGCCCACATGGATCAGCAGCAAGGTGCTCTGCAGGGGATGATGCCCGGCGGTGGGCACATGCAGCAGCAGCCCCCTCAGCAGGCTAACCTACCCTTACAGGTGCAGCTGCAGCAGAGGATGGGTGCTCCCATCCAGAACCCTCAGCAGCAACAGCAGTGGACTGGACCAGGGATACCGCCACAACAAAGGCAGGCTCTGATGAACCAGATGAGCCATCAGGCCATGATGGCTCAGCAGCAGCAACAGCAGCAGCAACAACAACAGCAGCAGGCTTCACACCAACCGGGTCAGGGGCATCCCAACATGATGAACATAGTTCAGCAGCAGCAAGGCGGAAACATGCCCCAAACGGCTCTACAGGAGCTGCTTCGCACCCTGCGTTCACCAAGCTCAGATCTCCAGAAACAGCAGGTTCTAAACATCCTGCGGTCCAATCCACAGCTAATGGCTGCTTTCATCAAGCAGAGAGCCTCCAAATACAAGGGGGGCCCGGGTGGACCAGATGCCGGTCCAGGAGGAGCAGGACCGGGACCTGCAGGGGGTCCGGTTGGAAATGTCATTGCAGGAGTTAATCCACAAGTGAACATGAATGCTTCAGGGGTCGGGCAGCCGGGGATGCACATGGGAGGGCAGGGAGGATCCAACATCAACATGGCTTCCATGGCTCAGCTACAGCAGGTCCAGCAGCTGCAGCAGCAGCAGAGGCCAATGCTCAGTGGTTTACCGCAGCAGCAGCAGCAAGGAGTAGGACGAGGTATGCAAGGCCAGGGGCCGGCGGCGGGAAATCTGAACAGCCTCCAAGTTCGAGAGCTGATTATGAGGCGACAGTTGCAGCAACAACAGTTGCAGCAACAGCAGCAGCAACAACAGCTGCAGCAACAGCAGCAGCAACAACAGCTGCAGCAACAGCAGCAACAACAACAGCTGCAGCAACAGCAGCAACAACAACAGCTGCAGCAACAGCAGCAGCAACAACAACAGTTGCAGCA